AACACATAACTATTAAGTTTCATTTTATTCGAAAAGTTTAACAATCCAATGAAGTGATACTGATTCATTGTTCTTCAGATAATCAATATGTTGATATACTTATAAAGGCTTTACTTAAATAAAGGTTTGAAATTCTCAAAGAAATAATCGGTATCTGTCACAAAAAATACCAATGAGGAGTGTTGAACAGCTGGCATTTTAATTCCAGCAGATAAGCTTTTGAAAATTAGAATTGCAGTAGATATTTTTAAAAAATTAATTTCAGATAAATTTTTTTAAAAAAGACTAAGAAATAATAATTGAATAAAATCTTTCAAGAATTTAATATATTTTAATTTTTTCATTTATAATAATGTAGATATTAGGCATTAAAAGTAGGAAATTAATTATTTCTTTTGTATAAATAACTTATCTTAAATGAAGGAAAAGATACAGCAATTTTCTCCCACATCTTTCTTTATCTTTTTACTGTTAGCTATTCTTGTTTTTAAACCAACAATTTGCTTATTCTCAGCATGGAGCAAGGGTCAATTTGGAAATTCCCAAAAGAATACAATTTAGTAGTTTACTTTGAACACCTTACCTTCCTCGCAAGAAAAGAGCACTTGAAGCAAATATCTCAAACATCATAAAGATAATGCTAAGGCAAAACAAGGACGGTTATATATATGTATATTTATGTATGTATAGCACAATTTTAGATATAGAGGTTGACAGACACAGAGTTTGGTGTCCTATGGATGAGATGGTATTGTGTTTACTAGGTGTTTCATTGCTTGTGGTGGTGTATGCTGCTTGTAAAATTTCCTACTCCATTTGGTGGGAACCAAAATGGCTGGAGAAGCATCTGAAGCAGCAAGGAATTAGAGGTAACCGTTATAAGCTGCTAATTGGAGATATGAAAGATCTGTAAGCCAGATTACTCAAGCTTGGTATGAACCCAGTATGAACCCATCAACCGAATCCACCAAATTGTTAGGAGAGTCGATCCATTTAAAGTAAACGTCAAAAAATATGGTAAGCTACATGTTAATTCATCGTTTTACTCTCAATTCTTTTTGTATTAGTATTTGATATACCGAGTCACAAAATGTTGATGTATGAGTTTCAACAAAAATTATGCAGGTTTACAAAAAATATGAGTTTCATTGTGTCGGGCTGGGAAAACACCAAGAGTGATCAAGGACCCAGAACTTATGAAGGAGGCACTGTCAAATAAGATGGGTCATCTTCAAAGGCCACCATTAAATCCACCTATTCTCTTTCTAGCTAGAGGATCGACTGTGCTTGAGGGTGAAAAGCGGGCTAAACATAGAAGGATTATTAACCCTGCTTTTCACCTCCAAAAACTGAAGGTTCTTCTCTTCTTTCCTATAGTATTGTTTTCTGCTTTATTCTTTCTCATAAGCCAATCAAAAAATTTATGCCATGAAGAAGTGAAACTGAGAATAGTAAATCATAAAATCCTTATCTCTAAGAAAGGATTAGAATGGAAGGTTGATCAAATCTACTAGAACCACAAGATTCCAATATTTAAACCCGATATTCCTATACTGCTATGTTCTATTATAACATATTTAATATAAAAGAATTACAACAGCAACCCATATATATATATATATATATATTATTAAATACTTGTTATCATTTTATCTTTCTTCTCTGCTACTCTTCTCTCTGCTCTGCGTTTCTCTGATTCTCCAGCTTCTCTGTGCCATTTTGTTTCACAAGTGTCTGTCTATATAAACACACACACATAAAAACCAGTAGCCAATAGATATAACACTTTTAACACAATCCTGTTGGATGACTATCATGGGATATATTTTTTTGGGGATAGGAAATGATACCGATATTCTCGACCAGCTGTAACAAGATAATTGGAGAATGGAATGAGTTGCTGGGTCTTCAAGAAAAATGTGAAATAGAGATATGGCCTGAATTTCAAAAATTCACTTCAGATGTCACTTCTTAAGCAACACTCGGGAGCAACTATAAAGAAGGGAAGATCTGTGAGCTTCAAAGGGAGCTAATGGAACTTGCTATGGAAGCAATGAGATTAATCTACCTTCCTGGTTTTCAGTATTGTAAGAAAAACAATGATTTTACCGATTAATCTTCCTATTTCACCGATTAATCTGCCTATCTAGAACAACTATGCAATCTTTATGAAGAAAGGAAGTGAAAAAAATACATTGACTCCTTTGGAGACGTGAAACCCTAGGACCACCGATGAAGAGAAACCCTATTAGGGTTTTGAATGTGACATTCCAGAATGGTTGATGCAGCTGGAAACGATCAATTTATACCTGGGTAAAATGGTTGCACGTAGACATATGCACACAACAGCAAGGAACGCCCATTTAACACAATATTTCGGGCCAGAGAGCAATAGATCTGGTCTCA